AGGGGACATGGGGGACATGGGGACATGGGAGGACACAGGGGGACATGGGGGACATGGGACAGGGGACACAGGGACAGGGGGACATGGAGGGACACGGGGGGACATGGGGGGACACAGGGGACACAGGGGTACATGGGGACATGGGGGGACACTGGGGGACACGAGGGGACACTGGGGGGACATGAGGGGACACTGGGGGACAGTGGGGACAGGGGGGACACGGGGCGACATGGGGGACATGGGGACACAGGGGACATGGGGACACGGGGGGACATGGGGGACATGGGGGACACGAGGGGACACGGGGGACATGGGGGACACTGGGGGACACTGGGGACATGGGGGACACTGGGGGACATGGGGGGACACAGGGGACACTGGGGGACACGAGGGACATGGGGACACGAGGGGACATGGGGGGACACAGGGGGACACGGGGGACATGGGGGACACTGGGGGACACGGGGGGACACGGGGGACATGGGGGACACAGGGGACACGGGGGACATGGGGGGACACAGGGGGACACAGGGGACACGGGGGACATGGGGGGACACGGGGGACATGAGGGGACACGGGGGACACTGGGAGACATGGGGGGACACTGGGGGACACAGGGGGACACACGGGGGACATGGGGGACATGGGGACACGGGGACACTGAGGGGACACGGGGGACACTGGGGGACATGGGGGACACAGGGGACATGGGGGGACACTGGGGACATGGGGGACATGGGGACATGGGGGGACACAGGGGACACAGGGGACATGGGGGACACTGGGGGGACATGGGGACACGGGGGGACACGGGGGGACATGGGGGACATGGGGGACACTAGGGGACACTGGGGGGACACAGGGGGACAGGGGGACACGGGGGACACTGGGGGACATGGGGACACAGGGGGGACACAGGGGACATGGGGGACACTGGGGAGGACATGGGGACACAGGGACACGGGGGGACATAGGGGACATGGGGGGACACAGGGGACACGGGGGACACAGGGGACATGGGGGACACGGGGGACATGAGGGGACACGGGGGACACAGGGGACACAGGGGGACACAGGGGGACAGACGGGGACAGGGGGACACTGGGGGACATGGGGGGACACGAGGGGACACAGGGGGACATGGGGGACACAGGGGGGACACAGGGGGACATGGGGGACACAGGGGGACATGGGGGACACTGGGGGACAGGGGGACACAGGGGACACAGGGGGACATGAGGGGACACAGGGGACATAGGGGGACACAGGGGGACACGGGGACACTGAGGGGGACACAGGGGACATGGGGGACACGGGGGACATGGGGGACACAGGGGGGACACGGAGGGGACATGGGGGACACGGGGGGGACAGGGGGACCCGAGAGGACGTGAGGGAACGAGGGGACACGGAGTCCCCAGGGATGACACGGGGACCCCAGGGGGACACAGGGGACCCCAAGGATGACATGGAGACCTCGGAGGGGACACAGAGACCCTAGGGGGGACACGGGGACCCCAAGGATGACACGAGGACCCCAAGGATGACACAGGGACCCCACGGACGACACGGGGACCCCAGAGGGGACACAGGGACCCCAGAGGGGACACAGAGACCCCACGGATGACACGGGGACCCCAGAGGGGACACAAGGACCCCAGGGAACACGAGACCTCGGGACACGGTGGGGGGGACACGACACGGAGACCCCACGAGGCTCTGCCAGCCGAGGGGGTGGGAGTGGGGATGGCAGGTGGCGACCCCGCTTTTGTGTCCCCGTTGTCCCCAGCGCCGTCCCGGGTCTCACGTCCACGGCGGCCACGCGGGACCTGGCGCAGCTCTGGCGCAGCCTCGGCCCCGACGAGCGCCGGCCCTACTGGTGCGTACTGGTCGGTACTGGGAGCGCCGGCTTGTGTGTCCCCCAACCCCGTGCCCCCCTCCCGCTGGCGGCTGTCCCTCCTGCAGTGTCCCCTGCAGTGTCCCCCGTGTCCCCCCCCAGCCGGCGGGCGCGTCGCTTCAGCCGCCAGCACGACCGGATGGTGCGGCTGGACAGGGGCAGTGACAGTGACAGGGACAGTGACAGCGACCCCGCCACCCCCCTCCGGCTGCTGCTGGCGGCCCACGCGCCGGGGGGCACCCCGTGACACCCCCAGGGACCCTCCTGTCCCCGGCCCGCTTCGTGTCCGTCATCCCAGTTCGTGTCCCCACCCCGGTTCTTGTCCCGGTTCGTGTCCCCATCATGTCCCAGTTCGTGTCCCCACCCCGGTTCGTGTCCCCATCATGTCCCAGTTCTTGTCCCCATCCTGGGCACAGTCCCGTTTTTGGTGCTTTTCACCCCAAAATTCTCCCCCTGGGCTGGGGGGGCTGGTCCTGCCCCCCGTGACACCCCCAGGGATCCTCTTGTCCCCAACTCGCTTTGTGTCCCCACCCCAGTTCGTGTCCCCACCCCGGTTCGTGTCCCCATCATGTCCCAGTTCTTGTCCCCATCCTGGGCACAGCCCCGTTTTTGGTGCTTTTCACCCCAAAATTCTCCCCCTGGGGTGGAGTGGGGCTGGTCCTGCCCTGGGGGGCACCCCGTGACACCCTCACGTCCCCCCTGTCCCAGTTCATGTTCCCATCATGTCCCAGTTCATGTCCCCATCCTGGGCACAGCCCCGTTTTTGGTGCTTTTCACCCCAAAATTCTCTCCCTGGGTTTGGGGGACTTGTCCTGCCCTGGAGGGGGACCCCGTGACACCCTCATGTGACATCCTGATGTCCCCCCTGTCCCTGTCCCAGTTCATGTCCCCACCCCAGTTCGTGTCCCCATCCTGGGCACAGCCCCGTTTTTGGTGCTTTTCACCCCAAAATTCTCCCCCTGGGGTGGGGGGTGGGGGGCTGGTCCTGCCCGGGGGGAAGGTTGTGGTGTCCCTGTGACACCCTCGTGACACTCTCATGTCCCCCCTGTCCCTGTCCCAGTTCGTGTCCCCATCATGTCCCAGTTCGTGTCCCCATCCTGGGCACAGCCCCGTTTTTGGTGCTTTTCACCCCAAAATTCTCCCCCTGGGGTGTTCTGTGGGGGACCCCGTGATCCCCTCATGTGACCCCCTCATGTCCCCTCCTGTCCCCATCCCAGTTCGTGTCCCCGTCCTGGGGACAGCCCCATTTTTGGTGCTTTTCACCCCAAAACTCCCCCTTGGGGGGTGTGGGGGGGGAGGAATTTGGTCCCGCCCGGGGGGGGGGACACAACACCCCCCTGGGGACATTTGGGGACCGTCGCAATAAACCCCCCTTTGGGTTCCTCTGTCCCTCGTGGTCCATCTGTACCCCCCCCGTGCCACCTTCCCTCGTGTCCCCTGTGCCCCTCAGTATCCCTTGTCACCCCCCCAATGTCCCCTGTGTCCCCCCAGGGTGTCCCCTGTGCCCCCCAGTATCCTTTGTCACCCCCAATGTCCTCTCTGCCCCCAGCGTGTCCCCTGTGCCCCCAGTGTCCATTGTCACCCCCCAATGTCCCCTGTGCCCCCAAATGTCCCTTTGTCACCCCCCAATGTCCCCTGTGCCCCCAGGGTGTCCCCTTGTGCCCCCCAGGGTGTCCCCTGTGCCCCCAGGGTGTCTCCTGTGCCCCCCAGTGTCCCCTTGTCACCCCCAATGTCCCTGTGCCCCCAGGGTGTCCTCCCGGTGTCCCCAAGGAGGGGGAGGGGGTGGTGACATCGGGCAGTGCCAGAAGGGACAGGGAGGTGACACAGGAGGTGACACAAGGGGTGGCACTGGGGTGGGGGACACTCCCCCAATCCCCCCAACAGCGAAAGGTTCTTGACAAAGGGTTTTTATTGAGGCACGACCCTCCCCTCTGCGACCCCTCCCCCACCACCCTCTCCTCCTCCCCCCAAAAAAATGACACCAAATAAATATCCAATAAAACCCGAGTGAAAAAGGGCGATTTTGGGGGTGCTGAGGAGGGGTTAAAAGGGGGCACAGCACTGGGTGGGGGCCCTGGGGCCAGACTATCACACAGTGATAAGGCAGCAGTGACAAACCCCCGGGAGGGGGTGGGGCAAATTTGGGGCTGGGGGAGGGTGGGAGGGGCAGGGGGCTTCACGGCTGTACAAATATACAAAAAGGGGGGAGGGAGGCCTGGGGCCCCTTGGGGGCTTCAGGTTGGAATTACCCCTTGGGGGTGGTGAGGGGGTTTGGGGGCCTGAATTGTTCTTGGAGGGGGGGGGGTAAGGTCCAAAATTGCCCCTGAAGGGGGTGGAAATACCCCTGGGGGGGCTCTTAAGGTCCAAAATTATCCCCTGATGGGGGGGTCAGAACTACCCCTGGGGGGACTTTTAAGGTCCAAAATTACCCCTGGGGGGGCTTTTAAGGTCCAAAATTACCCCCCCCCGCGGGTGGGTGGGGGGTTTGGAGCCCCTGAACTGCCCCTGGGTGGGTGGGGGTGTGTTTAAGGTCCAAAATTACCCCCCAGGGAGATGGAGGGGGGGGGAAATAAGGCCCAGAATTGCCTCCATTGGTGCCCCCCCCATTATTGCCCCTGGAGGAGGGGGAGGGGGGGAGATCTCAAAGGTGCCCCCCCGGGGGGCAGATTGAGTCCAAAACTACCCCGGGGGGGGGCAAAGAGCCCTTGAACTGCCCCTGGGGGGGGGTCACAGGGCCCCCAATTTCCCCCCCCCATCCCATTTCTCCCTTCCCCCTCCCCGGGCTCCCCAGGGCTGGGGGAGGGGACTGAGGCCACCCCCGGTGCCACCTGGTGCCACCACCATCCCCGGGAGGGACAAGAGAAGGTGACTGAGGCCACCTGGTGTCACCCAGTGCCACCAGACACGTGTCACCCCCATCCCTGGGCTGGGGGAATGGGGGGGAGGTGACAGAGGCCACCCTGGTGCCACCCCAGGCGTGTCACCCCCACCCTGCAGTTGGGGGGAGGTGACAGAGACCACCCCAGATGTGTCACCTCCCCCCTGTGCTCAGAGGGTGGTGACAGAGGCCACCCCAGGTGTGTCACCCCCACCCTGCCCTCAGGGGGAGGTGACAGAGGCCACCCCGGTGCCACCCCCCGTGTGTCACCCCCCTGCCCGAGGCAGGTGACCGAGTCCCGGCGGTGCCACCGAGGCCACCCGGGGGTGTCACACGAAGACCTTGGCGAGGGCGTCGGCGCCGGCGCTGGCGCTGAGGGCGCGGCGGGGGTGGAAGGCCACGGCCAGCACGGCCTCCTCGTGCTTCTTGCGGTGCGCGGTGAGCTCCTGCACGCACGTCCGCTGGCCCAGGTGCCACAGCCGCAGAGAGCAGTCGTGACCTGGGGACAGGGGACACATTGGGGACACCCTGGGGACAGTGGGGACACTGGAAATACACTGGGGACACGTCCGCTGGCCCAGGTGCCACAGCCGCAGCGAGCAGTCGTGACCTGGGGACAGGGGACACATTGGGGACACTGGAAATACACTGGGGACACATCCCCTGGCCCAGGTGCCACAGCCGCAGCGAGCAGTCGTGACCTGGGGACACATTGGGGACATTGGGGACACATTGGGGACACCCTGGGGACACGTCCGCTGGCCCAGGTGCCACAGCCGCAGCGAGCAGTCGTGACCTGGGGACATTGGGGACATTGGGGACACTGCTGGGGACACTGGGGACACCCTGGGGACACGTCCGCTGGCCCAGGTGCCACAGCCGCAGCGAGCAGTCGTGACCTGGGGACAGGGGACAGTGGGGACACTGCTGGGGACACAATGGGGACACACCCATACACAGCTGGGGACAGTGGGAATAAACTGGGGGATACATTGGGGACACGTCCGCTGGCCCAGGTGCCACAGCCGCAGAGAGCAGTCGTGACCTGGGGACATTGGGGACACGCTGGGGACACGTCCGCTGGCCCAGGTGCCACAGCCGCAGAGAGCAGTCGTGACCTGGGGACATTGGGGACAGGGGACACCCTGGGGACACCCTGGGGACACATTGGGGACACCCTGGGGACATTGGGGACACGTCCGCTGGCCCAGGTGCCACAGTCGCAGCGAGCAGTCGTGACCTGGGGACATTGGGGACAGGGGACACATTGGGGACACCTTGGGGACACCCTGGGGACATTGGGGACACACCCAGACACAGCTGGGGACAGGGGACACATTGAGGACACCCTGGGAACACACCCAGACACAGCTGGGGACACCCTGGGGACATTGGGGACACCCTGGGGACACGTCCGCTGGCCCAGGTGCCACAGCCGCAGCGAGCAGTCGTGACCTGGGGACATTGGGGACATTGGGGACACCCTGGGGACATTGGGGACACATTGGGGACATTGGGGACACCCTGGGGACACGTCCGCTGGCCCAGGTGCCACAGCCGCAGTGAGCAGTCGTGACCTGGGGACATTGGGGACACATTGGGGACACCCTGGGGACGTTGGGGACATTGGGGACACTGCTGGAGACATTGGGGACACGTCCGCTGGCCCAGGTGCCACAGCCGCAGTGAGCAGTCGTGACCTGGGGACAGGGGACAGTGGGGACACCCTGGTGACACATCTGCTGGCCCAGGTGCCACAGCCGCAGGGAGCAGTCGTGACCTGGGGACAGGGGACACAGTGGGGACACGCTGGGGACATTGGGGACACACCCAGACACAGCTGGGAACAGTGGGAATAAACTGGGGATACATTGGGGACACGTCCGCTGGCCCAGGTGCCACAGCCGCAGCGAGCAGTCGTGACCTGGGGACAGGGGACATTGGGGACATTGGGGACACCCTGGGGGCATTGGGGACACGTCCGCTGGCCCAGGTGCCACAGCCGCAGCGAGCAGTCGTGACCTGGGGACAGGGGACAGTGGGGACACTGCTGGGGACACTGGAATATACTGAGACACACAGACACAGCTGGGGACAGTGGGGACACTGCTGGGGACACCCTGGGGACACATCCGCTGGCCCAGGTGCCACAGCCGCAGCGAGCAGTCGTGACCTGGGGACATTGGGGACAGGGGACACATTGGGGACACCCTGGGGACACCCTGGGGACATTGGGGACACCCTGGGGACACATTCGCTGGCCCAGGTGCCACAGCCGCAGCGAGCAGTCGTGACCTGGGGACAGGGGACAGTGGGGACACTGCTGGGGACACAATGGGGACACACCCAGACACATTGGGGACATTGGGGACACCCTGGGGACACTGGGGACACACCCAGACACAGCTGGGGACACTGGGGACACACTGGGGACACGTCCGCTGGCCCAGGTGCCACAGTCGCAGCGAGCAGTTGTGACCTGGGGACATTGGGGACACATTGGGGACACTGGGGACACACTGGGGACATTGGGGACACACACAGACACAGCTGGGGACAGTGAGGACACTGCTAGGGACACCCTGGGGACACGTCCGCTGGCCCAGGTGCCACAGCCGCAGCGAGCAGTCGTGACCTGGGGACATTGGGGACAGTGGGGACACACTGGGGACATTGGGGACACACCCAGACACAGCTGGGGACAGTGAGGACACTGCTAGGGACACCCTGGGGACACGTCCACTGGCCCAGGTGCCACAGTCACAGGGAGCAGTCGTGACCTGGGGACATTGGGGACAGTGGGGACACCCTGGGGACACTGGGGACACACCCAGACACAGCTGGGGACACTGGGGACACCCTGGGGACACGTCCGCTGGCCCAGGTGCCACAGTCACAGGGAGCAGTCGTGACCTGGGGACAGGGGACACATTGGGGACACTGCTGGGGACAGGGGACAGTGCCACTCACTGCCAGACAGCGATGGGATGGGGACAGGGGGCGTGTTGGGGACAGGTTGGGGACAGTCTGGGGACAGTTTGGGGACAGTGACAGTGTCACTCACTGCCGGACAGCAGGAAAACGCCATTGGGGACAGTTTGGGGACAGGTTGGGGACAGGTTGGGGACAGGTTGGGGACAGGTTGGGGACAAGGACAGTGTCACTCACTGCCGGACAGCAGGAAAACGCCATTGGGGACAGTTTGGGGACAGGTTGGGGACAGGTTGGGGACAGTTTGGGGACAGGTTGGGGACAAGGACAGTGACAGTGTCACTCACTGCCGGACAGCAGGAAGACGCCATTGGGGACAGTTTGGGGACAGTTTGGGGACAGTTTGGGGACAGGTTGGGGACAAGGACAGTGACAGTGCCACTCACTGCCGGACAGCAGGAAGACGCCGTTGGGGACAGTTTGGGGACACTTTGGGGACAGGTTGGGGACAGTTTGGGGACAGTTTGGGGACAAGGACAGTGTCACTCACTGCCGGACAGCAGGAAGACGCCATTGGGGACAGGTTGGGGACAGTTTAGGGACAGTTTGGGGACAGGTTGGGGACAGTTTGGGGACAGTTTGGGGACAAGGACAGTGTCACTCACTGCTGGACAGCAGGAAGACGCCGTTGGGGACAGGTTGGGGACAGTTTGGGGACAAGGACAGTGACAGTGTCACTCACTGCCGGACAGCAGGAAGACGCCGTTGGGGACAGGTTGGGGACAGTTTGGGGACACTTTGGGGACAGGTTGGGGACAGCTTGGGGACAGTTTGGGGACAAGGACAGTGTCACTCACTGCCGGACAGCAGGAAGACGCTGTTGGGGACAGTTTGGGGACAGTTTGGGGACAGGTTGGGGACAGTTTGGGGACAGTGACAGTGCCACTCACTGCCGGACAGCAGGAAGACGCCGTTGGGGACAGGTTGGGGACAGTCTGGGGACAGGTTTGGGGACAGGTTGGGGACAGTTTGGGGACAGGTTGGGGACAGTGACATTGCCACTCACTGCCGGACAGCAGGAAGACGCCGTTGGGGACAGGTTGGGGACACTTTGGGGACAGGTTGGGGACAGTTTGGGGACAGTAACAGTGTCACTCACTGCCGGACAGCAGGAAGACGCCGTTGGGGTCAGGTTGGGGACAGTTTAGGGACACTTTGGGGACAGGTTGGGGACAGGTTGGGGACAGGTTGGGGACAGTTTGGGGACAGGTTGGGGACAGTTTGGGGACATTGTCACTCACTGCCGGACAGCAGGAAGACGCCGTTGGGGACAGTTTGGGGACAGGTTGGGGACAGGTTGGGGACAGGTTGGGGACAAGGACAGTGTCACTCACTGCCGGACAGCAGGAAGACGCCGTTGGGGACAGTTTGGGGACAGGTTGGGGACAGGTTGGGGACAGTCTGGGGACAAGGACAGTGACAGTGTCACTCACTGCCGGACAGCAGGAAGACGCCGTTGGGGACAGTCTGGGGACAGGTTGGGGACAGGTTGGGGACAGTTTGGGGACAGTCTGGGGACAGGTTGGGGACAGGTTGGGGACAGGTTGGGGACAGTTTGGGGACAGTGCCACTCACTGCTGGACAGCAGGAAGACGCCGCTGGGGACAGGTTGGGGACACTTTGGGGACAGGTTGGGGACAGTTTGGGGACAGGTTGGGGACAGTGACAGTGTCACTCACTGCCGGACAGCAGGAAGACACCGTTGGGGACAGGTTGGGGACAGGTTGGGGACAGGTTGGGGACAAGGACAGTGACAGTGCCACTCACTGCCGGACAGCAGGAAGACGCCATTGGGGACAGTTTGGGGACAGTTTGGGGACAGGTTGGGGACAGGTTGGGGACAGTTTGGGGACAGTTTGGGGACAAGGACAGTGTCACTCACTGCCGGACAGCAGGAAGACGCCGTTGGGGACAGGTTGGGGACAGGTTGGGGACAGTTTGGGGACAAGGACAGTGACAGTGCCACTCACTGCCGGACAGCAGGAAGACGCCGTTGGGGACAGGTTGGGGACAGTCTGGGGACAGGTTTGGGGACAGGTTGGGGACAGTTTGGGGACAGGTTGGGGACAGTTTGGGGACAGGTTGGGGACAGTGACATTGCCACTCACTGCCGGACAGCAGGAAGACGCCGTTGGGGACAGGTTGGGGACAGTCTGGGGACAGTTTGGGGACAGTTTGGGGACAGTTTGGGGACAGTCTGGGGACAGGTTGGGGACAAGGACAGTGTCACTCACTGCCGGACAGCAGGAAGACGCCGTTGGGGACAGGTTGGGGACAGTTTGGGGACAGGTTGGGGACACTTTGGGGACAGGTTGGGGACAGTTTGGGGACAGTAACAGTGTCACTCACTGCCGGACAGCAGGAAGACGCCGTTGGGGTCAGGTTGGGGACAGTTTAGGGACACTTTGGGGACAGGTTGGGGACAGGTTGGGGACAGGTTGGGGACAGGTTGGGGACAGTGTCACTCACTGCTGGACAGCAGGAAGACGCCGTTGGGGACAGGTTGGGAACAGGTTGGGGACAGGTTGGGGACAGGTTGGAGACAGTTTGGGGACAGGTTGGGGACAGTTTGGGGACATTGTCACTCACTGCCGGACAGCAGGAAGACGCCGTTGGGGACAGTTTGGGGACAGGTTGGGGACAGGTTGGGGACAAGGACAGTGTCACTCACTGCCGGACAGCAGGAAGACGCCGTTGGGGACAGGTTGGGGACAGTCTGGGGACAAGGACAGTGACAGTGTCACTCACTGCCGGACAGCAGGAAGACGCCGTTGGGGACAGTCTGGGGACAGGTTGGGGACAGGTTGGGGACAGTTTGGGGACAGTCTGGGGACAGGTTGGGGACAGGTTGGGGACAGGTTGGGGACAGTTTGGGGACAGTGCCACTCACTGCTGGACAGCAGGAAGACGCCGCTGGGGACAGGTTGGGGACACTTTGGGGGCAGGTTGGGGACAGTTTGGGGACAGGTTGGGGACAGTGACAGTGTCACTCACTGCCGGACAGCAGGAAGACACCGTTGGGGACAGGTTGGGGACAGGTTGGGGACAGGTTGGGGACAAGGACAGTGACAGTGCCACTCACTGCCGGACAGCAGGAAGACGCCATTGGGGACAGTTTGGGGACAGTTTGGGGACAGGTTGGGGACAGGTTGGGGACAGTTTGGGGACAGTTTGGGGACAAGGACAGTGTCACTCACTGCCGGACAGCAGGAAGATGCCGTTGGGGACAGGTTGGGGACAGTTTGGGGACAGTTTGGGGACAGGTTGGGGACAATGACAGTGCCACTCACTGCCGGACAGCAGGAAGACGCCATTGGGGACAGTTTGGGGACAGGTTGGGGACAGTTTGGGGACAGGTTGGGGACAAGGACAGTGTCACTCACTGCCGGACAGCAGGAAGACGCCGTTGGGGACAGGTTGGGGACAGTCTGGGGACAGGTTGGGGACAGTTTGGGGACAGGTTGGGGACAGTTTGGGGACAAGGACAGTGTCACTCACTGCCGGACAGCAGGAAGACGCCGTTGGGGACAGGTTGGGGACAGGTTGGGGACAGTTTGGGGACAGTTTAGGGACAGGTTGGGGACAGTGACATTGTCACTCACTGCCGGACAGTAGGAAGACGCCGTTGGGGACAGGTTGGGGACAGGTTGGGGACAAGGACAGTGACAGTGTCACTCACTGCCGGACAGCAGGAAGACGCCGTTGGGGACAGGTTGGGGACAGGTTGGGGACAGTTTAGGGACACTTTGGGGACAGGTTGGGGACAGGTTGGGGACATTGTCACTCACTGCCGGACAGCAGGAAGACGCCGTTGGGGTCAGGTTGGGGACAGTTTAGGGACAGTTTGGGGACAGTTTGGGGACAGGTTGGGGACAGTTTGGGGACAGTTTGGGGACACTTTGGGGACAGTGCCACTCACTGCCGGACAGCAGGAAGACGCCGTTGGGGACAGTTTGGGGACAGTTTGGGGACAGGGACAGTGTCACTCACTGCCGGACAGCAGGAAGACGCCGTTGGGGTCCACGGCCAGGCAGGTGACGGCGTCCAGGTGGGCGACCATGGAGTGAACCACCTTCCCTGGGGGGGGGGGACAGGGGGGTGACAGGGACATTCTGACCCCCCCCATCCCAAGAGCACCCCCCCCTAATTAGGGTTAATTAGCCACGCCTTCATTAGGGCTAATGAAGCCCCCTCAGCCCTTCCCTCCCTCATTAGCATTAATGAAGCTGCCCCCTCCCCCAGTTAGCACTAAAGAAGGCCCCCCCTCATTAGGGGGAACAAACGTCCTCCCTCATTAGCATTAATGAAACTCCTCCCTTATTAGGGCTAATGAAGCTCCTCCCTCACTCAAGCCCTATTAGAGTAACAAAGCTCCTCCCTCATTAGGGCTAATGAAGCTCCTCCCCTATCAGGCCTAATAAAGCTCCTCCCTCATTAGGGCTAATAAAGTTCTTTTCTCATTGGGGCTAATGAAGCTCCTCCCTCATTAGGACTAATGAAGCCCCTCCCCTCTTTAATACTAATGAAACTCCTCCCTCATTAGCACTAAAAAAGCCTTTCATTAGTGCTAACAAAGCCCCCCACCTCGATTATCACTAATGACCCCCCCACCATTAACACTAAGGAAGCCCCCCACCCCCCTCGATTATCACTAATGACCCCCTCCCCTCATTAGCGCTAAGGAAGCCCTCCAATTTGCCCCTCCTCTCCCCTCGTTAGCACTGAAGCCCCCCCTCACCGGTGCGGTTGTCCAGGAAGCGAATGCCGCGGTCGTCGCTGGCGGCGATGGTGAGGGGCTGGGACGGGTGGGACACCACCTGGTTCACCGGGCTGCTGCCACCACCTCCTGTGGGGACACGGGGACATGGTTTGGGGACAGGGGGACATGGGGGACATGGGGGGGACACCACCTGGTTCACCGGGCTGCTGCCACCTCCTGTGGGGACATGGGGACATGGGGACAAGGTCAGGGACAGGGGGACATGGGGGGGACACCACCTGGTTCACCGGGCTGCCACCACTGCCTGTGGGGACATGGGGACATGGGGACAAGGTCAGGGACAGGGGGACATGGGGACATGGGGGGGACACCACCTGGTTCACCGGGCTGCTGCCACTCCTGTGGGGACAGGGGACACAGGGACAGGTCAGGGACATGGGGGACAGGGGACATGGGGACACCACCTGGTTCACGGCTGCTGCCACCCCTGGGGGGACACGGACAGGGGGACAGGGGGACATGGGGGGGACACCACCTGGTTCACCGGGCTGCTGCCACCACCTGGGGGGACACCATGGGGACAAGGTCAGGGACAGGGGGACACGGGGGGGACACCACCTGGTTCACCGGGCTGCTGCCGGACACAGGGACATGGGGACAAGGTCGGGGACAGGGGGGACATGGGGGGACACCACCTGGTTCACGGGCGCTGCCACCCCTGTGGGACACGGGACATGGGGACAAGGTCAGGGACAGGGGGACAGGGGACATGGGGGGGACACCACCTGGTTCACAGGGCTGCTGCCACCTCCTGTGGGGACATGGGGACATGGGGACAAGGTCAGGGACAGGGGGACACCACCTGGTTCACCGGGCTGCTGCCACCACCTGTGGGGACACCATGGGGACATTGGGGGGGACATGGGGACAAGGTCAGGGACACAGGGGGGACACCACCTGGTTCACCGGGCTGCTGCCACCTGGGGCACCTGGGGGACATGGACATGGGGACATGGGGACAAGGTCAGGGACAGGGGGACACGGGGGGGACATGGGGGGGACACCACCTGGTTCACCAGGCTGCTGCCACCACCTGTGGGGACACAGGGACATGGGGACAAGGTCAGGGACAGGGGGACATGGGGGGGACACCACCTGGTTCACAGGGCTGCTGCCACCTCCTGTGGGGACACCATGGGGACATTGCTTGGGGACATGGGGACAAGGTCAGGGACATGGGGACACCACCTGGTTCACCGGGCTGCTGCCACCACCTGGGGGGACACGGGGACGGTCACTCAGTGGGGGACTGGGTAGACACATGGGGACACAGGGGACACAGGATGACACAGGGTGACCCAGAGGACACCGGGTGATGGTCACTCATGGGGGGGTGATGGTCACTCACTGGGGGGCTGGGCAGACACATGGGGGACATGGAGGGACACAGGGGACATAGGGTGACACAAGATGACACAGGGTGACATAGGATGACCCAAGGGACACCGGCTAACGGTCACTCATGGGGGGGGATGGTCACTCGCCGGGGGGGTGGGCAGACACAGAGGGACACAGGGGACACAGGATGACACAGGTGACACAGGATGACACTGGGTGATGGTCAGTCACCGGGGGGGGTGACGGTCACTCACTGGGGGGCTGGGCAGACACAGGGTGACACAGGATGACACAGGTGACAAAGGGTGACACAGGGTGACCCAGGGGACACCGGCTGACGGTCACTCATGGAGGGGTGATGGTCACTCGCTGGGGGGGTGGGCAGACACAGGGGGACACAGAGGGACACAGGATGACACAGGTGACACAGAGTGACATAGGGTGACCCAGGGGACACCGGGTGACAATCGCTCATGGGGGGGTGATGGTCACTTGCCAGGGGGGTGGGCAGACACAGGGTGACACAGGATAACATAGGGTGACACAGGGTGACATAGAGTGACCCAGGGGACACTGGGTGACGGTCACTCATGGGGGGGTGACGGTCACTTGCCGGGGGGCTGGGCAGACACAGAGAGGCACAAGGGACATAGGGGACACAAGATGACACAGGGTGACACAGGATGGCATAGCATGACACAAGGTGACACTGAGTGACATGGGGTGACCCAAGGTGACCCAGGGGACATCAGGTGATGGTCACTTATGGGGGGGTGATGGTCACTCAGTGGGGGACTGGGCAGACACAGGGTGACACAGAGGGACACAGGATGACACAGGGGACACCGGGTGACAGTCACTCACCAGGGGGCTGGGCAGTCACAGGGTGACACAGGATGACACAGGGGACAAAGGGTGACACAGGGTGACCCAGGGGACACCGGGTGAGGGTCACTCATGGGGGGGGTGATGGTCACTCGCTGGGGGGGTGGGCAGACACAGGGGGACACAGAGGGACACAGGGGACACAGGATGACACAGGGGACACCGGGTGACAGTCACTCACCAGGGGGCTGGGCAGACACAGGGTGACACAGGATGACACAGGTGACAAAGGGTGACACAGGGTGACCCAGGGGACACTGGGTGATGGTCACTCATGGGGGGGTGATGGCCACTCACCGGGGGACTTGGCAGACACGGGGACATGGGGGACACAGGGGACACTGGGTGACACGAGGTGACCCAGGGGACACCGGGTGATGGTCACTCACCGGGGGGGTGACGGTCACTCAGCGGGGGGGTGATGGTCACTCAGCGGGGGGCTGAGCAGACACAGGGTGACACAGGGTGACACAGGATGACACAGGGTGACCCAGGGGACACCGGGTGAGGGTCACTCACCGGGGGGCTGGGCAGACACAGGGGACACAGGGGGACACAAAGGGACACAGGATGACACAGGGTGACACAAGGTGACACAGGGTGACCCAGGGGACACCGGGTGATGGTCACTCACCGGGGGCTGGGCAGACACAGGGGGACACAGGATGACACAGGGTGACCCAGGGACACCAGGTGACGGTCACTCACCAGGGGCTGGGCAGACACAGGGTGACACAGGGTGACACAGGGTGACACAGGGTGACACAGGGGACACCGGGTGACACAGGGTGACCCAGGGGACACCAGGTGAGGGTCACTCACCGGGGGTGGGTCGGGCCTCGAGCACCAGGGCGGGCCGGGCGGCCTCCAGGTCGTAGATGACGGCGCAGCCCGAGCGGAACGAGGCCACCGCGTGGCCCGGCTGGGTGGCCGAGAACGTCACCGACGTGGGGACACCGTGCTCTGCGGGGGGACACGGGCACAAGGGGGGAGGGGGTCACAGCGTGTCCACAGGGTGCCTGGGTGTGTCCCCCAGACATCCAGGTGTGTCCCCAGGGTACCCAGGTGTGTCCCCACACGACCAGGTGTATCCCAGGTGCTCCTCCAAGTGTATCCCAGGCACCCAGCTGTGTCCCCAGGTGTATCCCAGGTACCCAAGTGTGTCCCCAGGTGTCCCCCCAGGTGAATCCCAGGTGCCCAGGTGTCCCCCCAGGTGCCCCCCTCACCGCTGTGCCCATCATAGACCCCCAGGTAGGTGTATGCCCGGTGCCCCCAAGTGCCCAGGTGTCCCCCCAGGTGTATCCCAGGTCCCCAGGTGTCCCCCCAGGTGAATCCCTGGTCCCCATGTGCCCCCCAGGTGCCCCCCTCACCACTGTGGCTGTCATAGACCCCCAGATAGGGGTATGCCCAGTGTCCCCAGGTGTCCCCCCAGTGTCCCCAAGTGTATGCCCAGTGTCCCCACGTGTATCCCAGGTGCCCCCCAAGTGCCCCCCTCACCGCTGTGGCCGTCGTAGACCCCCAGGCAGGTGTATGCCCAGTGTCCCCAGGTGCCCCCCAAGTGTCCCCAGCTGTCCCCCAAGTGTCCCCAGGTGTATCCCTGGTCCCCAGGTGCCCCCCCTCACCAGTGTGGCCATCATAGACCCCCAGGCAGGTGTATTCCCAGTGTCCCCAGCTGTCCCCCAGTGTCCCCAGGTGTATCCCAGGTGCCCAGGTGCCCCCCAGGTGCCCCCCTCACCGCTGTGGCCGTCGTAGACCCCCAGGCAGGTGTATCCCCAGTGTCCCCAGGTGTATCCCAGGTCCCCAGGTGCCCCCCAGGTGCCCCCTCACCGCTGTGGCCGTCGTAGACCCCCAGGCAGGCCCCGTCTCTCCGCCGGGGGTCCCAGATGCGGACGGTGCCGTCGGCCGAGCAGGACGCCAAGCGCTCCCCGGACGCGTTGAAGGCCAAACCCCACACGGCGTCCCCGTGGCCCTCCAGGACCCCACTCAGCACCCCAGGGTCTGGGGACACGGGAAGAGTCACCAAAGGGGGACAGACCCTGTTAGACTTGTCCCCATGGCCCTCCAGGACCCCACTCAGCACCCTGGGGTCTGGGGACATAGGGACAGTCACCAAAGGGGGGCAGACCCCACCAGCCTTGTCCCCATGTCCATCCAGGACCCCGCTCAGCACCCTGGGGTCTGGGGACATGGGGACAGTCACCAAAGGGGGGCCAAACCCCACACGGCGTCCCCATGGCCCTCCAGGACCCCACTCAGCACCCCGGGGTCTGGGGACACAGGGACAGTCACCAAAGGGGGACAGACCCCACTAGTCTTGTCCCCATGTACCCCCAGGACCCCACTCAGCACCCCGGGGTCTGGGAACACAGGGACAGTCACTACAGAGGGCAGACACCACCAGCCTTGTCCCCATGTCCCTGTGTCCCCCCAGGACCCCACTCAGCAGCCCGGGGTCTGGGGACACAGGGACAGTCACCAAAGGGGGACAGACCCCACTAGTCTTGTCCCCATGTCCCCATGTCCCCCTAGGACCCCACTCAGCACCCCGGGGTCTGGGGACATGGGGACAGTCACCAAAGGGGGGCCAAACCCCACACGGCGTCCCCATGGCCCTCCAGGACCCCGCTCAGCACCCCGGGGTCTGGGGACACAGGGACAGTCACTACAGAGGGCAGACACCACCAGCCTTGTCCCCATGTCCCTGTGTCCCCCAAGGACCCCACTCAGCACCCTGGGGTCTGGGGACATGGGGACAGTCACCAAAGGGGGCAGACCCCACTAGTCTTGTCCCCATGTACCCCCAGGACCCCAATCAGCACCCCGGGGTCTGGGGACATGGGGAGAGTCACCAAAGGGGGACAGACCCTGTTAGACTTGTCCCCATGTACCCCCAGAACCCTGTTCAGCACCCCGGGGTCTGGGGACACGGGGACAGTCACCTCAGGGGAACAGACATCACTAATCTTGTCCCTGTTTCCTCTGTGACACCATGGGCTGGGGACCCCATTGGCCTCATCCTGATGTCCCCATGTCCCCTCAGGCCACCCTTGGGGCCAGGGACCAGCAAGTGTGGACCCCACTGGCCTTGTCACCGTGTCCCCTGTGACACCATGGGCTGGGGACCCCACTGGGATACTGGGGGACACCACACCCCGGTGTCCCCTCAGGTCACCCTTGGGGCCAGGGACCAGCAAGTGTGGACCCCACTGGCCTTGTCACCGTGTCCCCTGTGACACCATGGGCTGGGCACCCCACTGACCTCATCCCAGTGTCCCCATGTCCCCTCAGGGTCAGAAAGCAGCGGGTGTGACCCCCCTGTCCCCTCCCCTGTCCCCCCCCAAGCCTGTGCCACCCACCGTAGCCGTCGTAGGGGTCCATGTCGAGGTCGGGCAGGCGCCAGCAGCGGATCTGGGCATCCACACCGGCGCTGCAGCACAGCCCGCTGTCACAGCCCATGGCCACGGCCAGCACGGGGCCCCTGCGGGGTGGGGACACTGTGACACAGCCCCCCAGGCCACCCCAAGCTGTCACAGCCCATGGCCACGGCCAGCACGGGCCCTGGCGAGGTGGGGACACTGTGACACAGCCCCCCAGGCCACCCCAAGCTGTCACAGCCCATGGCCACGGCCAGCACGGGGCCCCTGCGGGGTGGGGACGCTGTGACACAGCCCCCCAGGCCACCCCACGCTGTCACAGCCCATGGCCACGGCCAGCACGGGGCCCCTGTGGGGTGGGGACACTGTGACACAGCCCCCCAGGCCACCCCACGCTGTCACAGCCCATGGCCACGGCCAGCACGGGCCCCTGTGGGGTGGGGACACTGTGACACAGCCCCCCAGGCCACCCCACGCTGTCACAGCCCATGGCCACGGCCAGCACGGGGCCCCTGCGGGGTGGGGACACTAGACACAGCCTGCAGGCCACCCCACGCTGTCACAGCCCATGGCCACGGCCAGCACGGGGTCCTTGCAGGTGGGGACACTGTGACACAGCCCCCCAGGCCACCCCAAACCCCCCCTGATGTCCCCCCCCGGGGTGGGTGTCCCCTACCTGTGCCCGCGGAAGGCGTAAACCGGCTCCACGTCCAGCGCTGCGTTCCTGCGGGGACAGCGTGGGGACAGGGTGGGGACAACGTGGGGATAGCGTGGGGACAGCGGTGGGGACATGTAGGGACAGCGTGGGGACAACGTGGGGACATGTGGGGACGGGGGTGTAGGGGGGACAGCGTGGGGATAACGTGGGGACAGCGTGGGGACAGCATGGGGACAATGTGGGGACACATGCGGACAGTGTGGGGACAGCGTGGGGACAGCATGGGGACAATGTGGGGACACATGGGGACAGTGTGGGGACAGCATGGGGACAGGATGGAGACGGGGGGATAGGATGGGGACAGGAGGGGGACATGTGGGGACAGGATGGGGACAATGTGGGGACAGTGTGGGGACAACGTGGGGACAGCGGGGGGACATGTGGGGACAGTATGGGGACAACGTGGGGACGGGGGTGTTGTGGGGACAACGTGGGGACAGGATGGGGACACATGGGGACAGGATGGGGACAGTGGGGGGACAGCATGAGGACAGGATGGGGACAGTGTGGGAACCCGTGGGGATGGGGGTGTCCCAGCACAGAGACCCCCCCAGGTGCAGCTCTGGGCATGGGAGGGGGCCTGGGGGGGACACCAGGGGGTGACAGTGGCACATCCTGGAGTGTCCCCGGTGCCAACCCCGGTGTGAATCACCCGCCCTGACGCCAACACTGGGGGGGGGGAGGAGGAAGAGGAAACCCCCCCCAAATCAGCGGGACTGGGGGGGTCCAGGAGCCCCCAAACATGACACCCCCCCAGGGCTGTGCAGGGACCCCCCCAAAACCAGGAGAGCGACACGAAACAGGGCGTGACAACCACACCGGGGGGAAAGAGGAGGGGGGGGGGAAGAAAAGTGTCCCCAAACCCCCCCCCCCCGAGCACCCACTTTTTGGGGGCCACGGGTTTCTGGAGGTTCCAGAGCTTGAGGGTGCCGTCCTCGGAGGCGGTGAGCAGCGCCGGCTCGGCGGGGTGGAACGCCAGGCCCCGCACGGCGTCGTAGTGGCTGCGCAGCGTGAATTTGGGGCTCCACGTCTTCTTCAGCCCGTCCCGGCCCTCTGCCACCTGCAGGGAGGGGACACCACCGTGGGGGGGGAGGAGGGGACACGAGTGGCACCCCCGGGGACAGGGGGAAGGTGAGGAGGGGTTTGGGGGGATCGGAGGGATAGCGGTGGGGAGAGGGGTGGTGGAGCTGAGGGGAGTTGGGAGGGGTCTGGGGACAATATGGGGACAGTGGAGTGGGGCTGGGGACAATATGGGGACAGGGGAGTAGGGCTGGGGACAATATGGGGACAGCAGAGTCCAGGGGACACTGGAGATGGGTCTGCAGACAATATGAGGATAGTGGAGCTGAGGGGACACTGGAGGTGGGATTGGGGACAATATGGGGACAGTGGAGCTGAGGGAACACTGGAAATGGGTTTGGGGACAATATGGGGACAGTGGAACTGAGGGGACACTGGAGATGGGTTTGGGGACAATTTGGGGACAGTGAAGCTGAGGGGACACTGGAGATGGGTCTGGGGACAACGTTGGGACAGTGAAGCTGAGGGGACAGTCAGGGATGGTCAGGGGACCCTGAGGGGACAGCAGAGCCCAGGGGACACTCAGGGTTGGCCCAGGCACCCCGAGGGGACAGCAGAGCCCAGGGGACACTCAGGGCTGGCTTCAGGGACCCTGAGGGGACAGCAGAGCCCAGGGGACACTGAGGGCTGGCCCAGGCACCCCGAGGGGACAGCAGAGCCCAGGGGACACTCAGGGCTGGCCCAGGCACCCCGAGGGGACAGCAGAGCCCAGGGGACACTCAGGGCTCTTCAGGGTACCCTGAGGGGACAGCAGAGCCCAGGGGACACTGAGGGTTCTTCAGGGTACCCTGAGGGGTCAGCAGAGCCCAGGGCACACTCAGGGCTGGCCCAGGCACCCCGAGGGGACAGCAGAGCCATGGGGACACTCAGGGCTCTTCAGGGGACTCCAACGGGTCAGCAGAGCCCAGGGGACACTGAGGGCTCTTCAGGGTACCCTGAGGGGACAGCAGAGCCCAGGGGACACTGAGGGCTGGCCCAGGCACCCCGAGGGCACAGGAGTGGCTCACGTCACAGCTCTCGTTGTCGTTGGTGACCGTCAGGTCCGCCAGGTCCCCCAGGCTGACGCCGATGCTGTCCATGATGAACACGTCCGAGGAGATGCCCAGAGAGCCTGCGGGAAGAGCAGCTGGGGGTGGTCCCGGGGTCCAAGGACCCCTCCAGGGGACACTGGGGGGACACAGGGACACCCCCAAGGCCGTACCTTCGTGTGGCCGCGGTGGCCCCGCGGGGCGTGGCGGGAGCCCGTCCCCGTCCGGCAGGTCCAGCACCCCCCGCAGCCGACCCTGGCGACTCTCTGCGGGGACAGGGGGGTGTCACCCAGCCCGGGGGGGCACAGGGAGACCCCCCCAGACCCCCCCACATCCCGCTCACCCAGCTCCAGGCACTCCCCGGGCCGCCGGCCGGCCCCGTTCTCCCCCGAGCCCAGGAAGTCGAACTCGCCCAGCGCGTCCTCGGAGTCTTCGTCATCGTCCTCGTCCTCCACCTCGGGCAGGAGGGGCTTGGGGCTGAGCTGGGGGGATGGAGGAGCAGGGTGGGGCTTGATTTGGGGGGGGATGGACCCCCAAAGACACCAGGAGGGGGTGATGGGGGAAAGGGGGCACAAGGGCTGCTCGCTCTGGGTTTAGGGGAACTGGGGTGTGGGGCGTGTCCAAGTTTAGGGGAACCACCCAGGGCTGGGGGATGCTCAGGGTTAGGGGAGCCCCCCAGGACTGGGACCCCTCCCAGGTTTAGGGGTTCCTCCCCCAGGACTGGGACCCTTCCCAGGTTTAGGGGACCCGCCCAGAACTGGGACCCCTCCTGGTTTTAGGGCCCCCCCCCTTCCCAGGATTGGGACCCCTCCCAGGTTTAGGGAACCACCCCCCAAATCTAGGGGATGCCCAAGTTTATGGGACCTCCTGGCACTGGGAACCCTACTGGTTTTAGGGGACCCCTCTTGGTTTTAGGGCTCCCCTCCCAATACTGGGACCTCTCACAGGTTTAGGGGACTCCCTCAGGACTGGGACCCCTCCCAGATTTAGGACCCCCCACCCCTCCTGTCTCAGCTCTGGGGGATTCCTTATACTGGAAGGACCACCCCCTCCTCTCCCAAATTTTGGGGGATCCTCTTGCCTTGACTCGCTGCTTCCTGTGCTGGGGGTGCCCGGGGGGAGGAAGGCTCTCAGCATCCTCATCCTCATCGCTGTCTTCATCCTCTCCGGGGGGAAACGGCACCTGCTCCATCCCCCCCCCGCCCCCCCTCTCCTCCGACTCCTTCCCGGCGTTCCTGAGGGTGGGAAGCGCCGGCTTGGAACATGAGGATGGGTGACCCCAAAAACCCCACAAAACCCCTCAAACCTCCAAACAAACCCCTCAACCCCCCAAAAACCTCCCCTCCAGGAGCCCCCACCTCTGATCTGCTCCTCGATGCGACGCAGCAGCAGAGACTCCCCGGGGGCCTGGGGGCCGGGAGGGGGTCGGGGGTCCCGGGGGGCTCCGGCCCAGCAGGGACCTCACCCGTCGAGACCTCATGTCCAGGATGGTGTCACTGTACCCCACCTCCTCCAGGTACCTGGGGACAGAGGGGGGGTCACCCACAGGGAAAAGGGGGGGTGCTCAGAGCCCCCCCAAACCCCCCGGACCCCCCACTCACTGGCGCAGGAGCTGCCGCCCCTCCTTCCAGGCCACGGGACCCCCCTCCAGCGCTGGCAGCTCTGCAGGGCCGTTGGACACTGTGGGGACACAGAGAGAAGGGGGGTCAGACACCCCAAAACAACCCCCCCTCACCCCTCCTACCCCCCCAAAAAACAGCCACGGGGACCCTCACCCGGCTCCGGCCCCTCCGGGCGCGGCTTCTCCCCCGGCGCCAGCTCCGTCCCGAACTTCAGCTTGTGGTACTTGGACCTGGCAGGGGGCCCCAAAACAAGCAGAGAGGGGGGTTGGGGGTGTCCCCCGAGGCCCAGGAGGGGGGTGGTGACCCCCCCAAACTGGGGGGGAAGGTTTGGGGGGTCCCCACCTCTCCTGTTTGAGGGCGTATTCCAGCATGCGGATGCGCCGCACCAGGTCCGTCTTGAGGTTCTCCTGCCCCTTGCGCTCGCCCTGCAGGAAGGCCACCTGTGCCTGTGGGGACAGGGGGTGACAGAGGTGACAGGGACCCCCAGAGACCCTCTGGGACCCCTGGACACTCAATATTCCTTTGCTCATCCCCAGAGACCCCCAAGTTCCCTGAGGTTCTCCTGCCCCTTGTGCTCACCCTGCAGGAAGGCCACCTGTGCCTGTGGGGACAAGAGGTGACAGGGGTGACAAGGAGGTGACAGGGACCCCCAGAGACCCTCTGGGCCCCCTGGATAACCGCCACTCCCACACCCTGCCTCAGAGACCCCCAAGTTCCCTGGGGTTCTCCTGCCCCTCACACTCGCCCTGCAGGAAGGCCACCTGTGCCTGTGGGGACAGGGGGGTGACAGAGGTGACAAGAGGGTGACAGGGACCCCCAGAGACCCTCTGGGACCCCTGGACACCCAATATTCCTTTGCCCATCCCCAGGGACCCCCAAGTTCCCTCAGGTTCTCCTGCCCCTTGCGCTCGCCCTGCAGGAAGGCCACCTGTGCCTGTGGGGACAGGGGTGACAGAGGTGACAAGGAGGTGACAGGAGGGTGACAGGGACCCCCAGAGACCCTCTGGGACCCCTGGACACCCAGTATTCCCTTGCCCATCCCCAGGGACCCCCAAGTTCCCTCAGGTTCTCCTGCCCCTTGCGCTCGCCCTGCAGGAAGGCCACCTGTGCCTGTGGGGACAGGGGGGTGACAGAGGTGACAGGAGGGTGACAGGGGGGTGACAGGGACCCTCTGGGACCCCTGGGTAACTGCCACTCCCACACCCTGCCTCAGAGACCCCCAAGTTCCCTGGGGTTCTCCTACCCCTTGCACTCGACCTGCAGGAAGGCCACCTGTGCCTGTGGGGTGACAGAGGTGACAAGGGTGACAAGGAGGTGACAGGGACCCCCAGAGACCCTCTAGGACCTCTGGACACCCAGTATTCCCTTGCCCATCCCCAGGGACCCCCAAGTTCCCTCAGGTTCTCCTGCCCCTTGCGCTCGCCCTGCAGGAAGGCCACCTGTGCCTGTGGGGACAAGGGGGTGACAGGGGTGACAAGGAGGGGACAGGGACCCCCAGAGACCCTGGATAACCACCACTCCCACACCCTGCCTCAGAGACCCCCAAGTTCCTTGGGGTGCTCCTGCCCCTTGCACTCAACCTGCAGGAAGGCCACCTGTGCCTGTGGGGTGACAGAGGTGACAGGGGTGACAAGGAGGTGACAGGGATGCCCAGAGACCCTCTGGGACTCCTGGACACCCAGTATTCCTTTACCCATCCCCAGGGACCCCCAAGTTCCCTGAGGTTCTCCTGCCCCTTGTGTTCACCCTGCAGGAAGGCCACCTGTGCCTGTGGGGACAGGGAGGTGACAGAGGTGACAAGGAGGTGACAGGGACTCCCAGAGACCCTCTGGGACCTCTGGACACCCAGTATTCCCTTGCCCATCCCCAGGGACCCCACGTTCCCTCAGGTTCTCCTGGCCCTTGCGCTCGCCCTGCAGGAAGGCCACCTGTGCCTATGGGGACAGGGAGGTGACAGGGGTGACAGGGATCCCCAGAGACCCTCTGGACACTCAGTATTCCCTTGCCCATCCCCAGGGACCCCAAGTTCCCTGGGGTTCTCCTGCCCCTCACGCTCGCCCTGCAGGAAGGCCACCTGTGCCTGTGGGGACAGGGGGGTGACAGGGACCCTCTGGGCCCCCTGGATAACCACCACTCCCACACCCTGCCTCAGAGACCCCCAAGTTCCTTGGGGTGCTCTTGACCCTTGCGTTCGCCCTGCAGGAAGGCCACCTGTGCCTGTGGGGTGACAGAGGTGACAGGGGGGTGACAGGGACCCCCAGAGACCCTCTGGGACCTCTGGACACCCAGTATTCCCTTGCCCATCCCCAGGGACCCCAAGTTCCCTCAGGTTCTCCTGCCCCTTGTGTTCACCCTGCAGGAAGGCCACCTGTGCCTGTGGGGACAGGGGGGTGACAGAGGTGACAGGGGGGTGACAGGGGTGACAGGGACCCCCAGAGACCCTCTGGGTCCCCTGGATAACCACCACTCCCACACCCTGCCTCAGAGACCCCCAAGTTCCCTGGGGTTCTCCTGCCCCTCACGCTCGCCCTGCAGGAAGGCCACCTGTGCCTGTGGGGACAGGGAGGTGACAAAGGTGACAGGAGGGTGACAGGGACCCCCAGGATCCCTCTGGGACCCTTCCCGGTACAAAGGGGGGTCCCGGTCCTGTGCTGGGGGCAGGGTCTCGATACAGGGGGTTCCCAGTACTAGGGGGGGGGGTCTCGGTGCCGAGCAGTCCCGTTATGGGCGGGGGTCCCGTGCTGGGAGGCAGGGGGGGTCCCTGTGCTGTGCGGTCCCGGTTCTAGGGGGGTGTCCCCGTGCCGGTCCCGGTGCCGAGCGGTCCCGGTCCGGGGGGGTCCCGGTGCCGATCGGTCCCGGTCTGGGGGTGTCCCCGTGCCGGTGCCGAGCGATCCTGGTCCGGGAGGGTCCCGGTGGGTCCCGGTGCCGGTCCCGGTTCCGGTCCCGGTTCCGGTCGGTCCTGGTCCGGGGGTGTCCCGGTGCCAGTCCCGGTCCGGTGCCGGTCCCGGTGCGGGGGTCCCGGTGCCGCCCCCCCCGCGGTGCCGGTCGGTCCCGGTGCCGGTCCCGGTGCGGGGGTTCCGGTGCCGCCTCCGCCCCCGCCCCGGTGCCGGTCGGTCCCGGTCCGGTGCCGGTCCCGGTGCCGGTCGGTCCTGGTCCGGGGGTGTCCCGGTGCCGGTGCCGGTCGGTCCCGGTCCGGTGCCGGTCCCGGTGCGGGTCCCGGTGCCGCCTCCGCCCCCGCCCCGGTGCCGGTCGGTCCTGGTCCGGGGGTGTCCCGGTGCCGGTGCCGGTTGGTCCGTGCGGGGTCCTGGTGCCGTTCCTCGCCCCCGCCCCGGTGCCGGTCGGTCCCGGTGCCGGTTGGTCCCGGTCCGGAGGTGTCCCGGTGCCAGTCCGTGCCGATCGGTCCCGGTGCCGGTCCCGGTGCGGGGTCTGGTGCCGCCTCCCGCCCCTGCCCCGGTGCCGGTCGGTCCTGGTCCGGGGTGTCCTGGTGCCGGTGCCGATCGGTTATGGTCCCGGTGCCGGTCCCGGTGCGGGGTCCTGGTGCCGCCCCCCGCCCCTGCCCCGGTGCTCCGCCCCCGCTCCTGCCGCCGGGCGGCCATTTCCTCCCAAGATGGCGGCGGCGGCGGCGGCGCCGCTCCCCCCGGTAACCCCCCGGTACCCCCGCGGGCTTTCTATGGCGGTGGTGGGGGTTGTTTCATCCCGGTACCTGCAGCTCGGCCCGCTCCGCCTCCCAGCGCCCCTTCTCGGCCTCGAAGCGCGCCCACTCGTGCTGGATGAAGTGCAGGATGCCGGGCAGGCTCAGCCCCGCGCGGCCCGCGGGCTCGGCGCCCGCGGCGGGGCCGGTGCCGCTGCCGGGGGCGCGGGGGCGGCGGGGCCCGCGGAGCCGCCGCCCGCTCCGCCGCCATCACGGCCGGCGCTGCCACAAAGGGAGCCACGGGCGGAGCCGCCGCCGCCGCCGCTTCCTGCCACAAACGGAGCCGGAAGCGGGGCGGCGCCTGGGCCGCCGTTACCGGGCAAACTGAGCCCGCGGGAGGGGCGGGGATGGGGGCGGACGGGGGGCTTGGGGGTTATTGGGGGTTGGGGGTTAGTGGGGGATTAGGGGCCATAGGGGTTTGGGGGTTATGGGGGCTACAGGGAGTTTGGGGGCTATAGGACGGTTTGGGGGCTATTGGGGGATTGGGTGCTATAGGGGCTCTGGGGGCATGGGGCTATAGGAGGGTTTGGGGGCTATAGGACTCTGGAGGCTATAGGGCTCTGGGGTTATGGGGCAGTTTGGGGGCTATAGGGACTATGGAGGGTTTGGGGGTTATGGGGGCTACAGGGGGTTAAAGGTTATAGGATGGTTTGGGGGCTATTGGGGGATTAGCTATAGGGGCTCTGGTGGGGTAATGGGGGCTATAGGAGGGTTTAGGACTATAGGGACTCTGGGGGCTATAGGGGCTCTGGGGTTATGGGGGCAGTTTGGGGCTATAGGGACTATGGAGGGTTTGGGGGTTATGGGGGCTATAGGGTTATGGGGCTATAGGGAGTTTGGGGCTATAGGAGGTTATGGGGGCTATTGGGGTGCTTGGGGTCGATAGGGACTATGGGGGGTTTGGGGGCCATAGGAGGGATTTGGGTCTATAGGAACTATGGGGGGTCGGGGGACTGCAGGGGAGTTTGGGGGATGTGGGGGGAGTCTGTAGGAGGCCGGGGGGCTATAGAGACTGGGGGTGTCCCTTCATTAACACGTCCCCTCCTTAATGAGCCTCCTCATTCTTTCCTCCCAGCTGCCGCATCGACCCTCCGAGCCCCCCCAGCTCGTGACACCCGCGCCAGCGCCGCCAGGACCCCCCTGAGGAGGAGCCCCTCTCCTTCACTACCCCCCCACCCCGAGAAGGGACCGCCGGCCATGCGGGTGACGCCGTGCCAGGCCGCCCTGGCCGCGGCCATCGCCCTCAACCTGCTGCTCCTCTACTGCGCCCGGCGCGGCTCCTCCCGCCCTCGGCGGCGCGCGCCCCGCTGTGCCGGCCTCGCGCGGCGCCCGCGGCGTCACCGTCGTGCTGCGGGACTTCGAGGACTTCGACAACGACGTGGCGGGCACCGCCCGCTCCTTCGCGGCGCTGCCCGTGCCGGTGCTGGTGGCGGCCGAGGCGCCGCCGCATCCGCCGGTGCCGCTGACCTGCTGGGGCCGCTGCTGCCGCTGCGCCCGCTGCCCGACCGGCCTCCGCCGCCGCGCCCGGAGCTGGCGGTGCGCACGCGGCACGTGGCGCTGGTGCCCGACGGCGCCCGCGCCGCGCCGGGGCTGCTGGAGCGCATGAGGGACGCGCTGGAGGCCGCCGGCGACGACGGCGGCGGCAGCGCCCGCGCGGTGGCGGCGCCCGTGGGCCCGCGGGCGCCGCGCTGCCTGGCGCTGAGCGTGGACCTGCGGGCGTGGACGGCGCGCTACGGCCCCGCCGGCAACGGCAGCGCCGGCTGCTCGGCGCTGGAGGGGGCCCCCGCCGTCCTCCTGCTGCGCACCCGCGACCTGTTCGCGCTGCCCTTCCCGCTGGCGCGCCCCGTGCCCGCCGCGCTGGCCCTGCAGGCCGCCCTGCGCGGGTGGCGGCTGCGCCTGCTGCCCGAGGCCTTCCCGGCCGCCCGGCGCGCCCCGGCGTCGCCGCACGGGCGCTGGAAGGCCGAGGGGCTGGCGGAGGCGCGGCGGCGGCGGCTGCTGCGCGACGTGGGCGTGAAGCTGGAGGTGCTGGCGGACGGGCGGGAGCGCTGGCACGGCTGCGCCAAGGACACGCCGCGCTGCTTCGGCACCGTGCACGCCCGCACGCCGCAGTACCTGCTGGCCGGGCGCTGGACCCCGCCCTGCTGCCTGCGGGCGCTGCGCGAGACCGCCCGGCACGTGGCCCGCGAGCTGGAGGCGGCCGGCGTGCGGTACTGGCTGGAGGGGGGGTCCCTGCTGGGCGCCGCCCGCCTCGGGGACATCATCCCCTGGGACTACGACGTGGACCTGGGCATCTACCGCGAGGACGCCGGCAAGTGCCGCTGGCTGGCGGCCGTGGCGGCCGAGGGGCGGCCGGTGGAGGACGCCGAGGGCTTCGTGTGGGAGAAGGCGGCCGAGGGCGAGTTCTACCGCGTGCACTACAGCCGCAGCAACCGCCTGCACGTGGACCTGTGGCCCTTCTACGCCCGCGGCGGGGTGATGACCAAGGACACGTGGCTGGGCCACCCGCAGGACGTGGAGTTCCCCGAGAGCTTCCTGCGGCCCCTCGTGCCCGTGGCCTTCGCCGGCTTCACGGCCATGGCGCCCAACAACGCCCGCGCCTTCCTCGAGCTCAAGTTCGGGCCCGGCGCCATCGAGAACCCCGAGTACCCCAACCCCGCCGTGAAGCGGCTCGAGCGGGACTGAGGGGCACGGGGTGGGGTGAGGGGGGCACATGGGGGGCTGCTCTGTGCCCCAGGACTGAGGAGGGCACATGAGGGGACACATGGGCGGCTGTTCTGTGTGCCAGGACTGAGGGGGACACATGGGGGGGTGATCCGGGCCCCAGGACTGAGGGGGGCACGTGGGGGGCTGCTCCAGACCCCAGGACTGAGGGGGGCACATGAGGGGCTCCTCTGTGTGCCAGGACTGAGGGGGGCACATGAGGGGCTGCTCTGGGCCCCAGGACTGAGGGGGGCATGGGGGGCACATGGGGGTCTGCTCTGTGTGCCAGGACTGAGGGGTGCACAGAGGGGGCATGTGGGGGGCTGTTTTGTGCCCCAGGACTGAGGGGGGCACATGGGGGGCTGTTCTGTGCTCCAGGACTGAGGGGGGCACGTGGGGGGCTGCTCCAGACCCCAGGACTGAGAGGGGCACATGGGGGGCTGCTCTGTGCCCCAGGACTGAGGGGGGCACGTGGGGGGCTGCTCTGGGCCCCAGGACTGAGGGGAACATGGAAGGCACATGGGGGGCTGCTCTGGGCCCCAGGACTGAGGGGGACACATGGGGGGGTGATCTGGGCCCCAGGACTGAGAGGGGCACATGAGGGGGATGCTCCAGACCCCAGGACTGAGGGGGGCACGTGGGGGGCTGCTCTGTGCTCCAGGACTGAGGGGGGCACATGGGGGGGTGATCTGTGCTCCAGGACTGAGGGGGGCACATGAGGGGGATGCTCCAGACCCCAGGACTGAGGGGGGCACACGGGGGGCTGCTCTGTGCCCCAGGACTGAGGGGGGCACACGGGGGGCTGCTCTGGGCCCCAGGACTGAGGAGGGCACATGAGGGGCTGCTCCAGACCCCAGGACTGAGGGGGGCATGTGGGGGGCTGCTCTGGGCCCCAGGACTGAGGGGGGCATGTGGGGGGCTGCTCTGGGCCCCAGGACTGAGGGGGGCACATGAGGGGGATGCTCCAGGCCCCAGGACTGAGGGGGGCACATGGGGGGTGATCTGTGCTCCAGGACTGAGGGGGGCACATGAGGGGGATGCTCCAGACCCCAGGACTGAGGGGGCACACGGGGGCTGCTCTGTGCCCCAGGACTGAGGGGGGCACATGAGGGGGATGCTCCAGACCCCAGGACTGAGAGGGGCACATGGGGGGGCTGCTCCAGACCCCAGGACTGAGGGGGCCACGTGGGGGGCTGCTCCAGACCCCAGGACTGAGGGGGGCACAGGGGGGGATGCTCTGGGCCCCAGGACTGAGGGGGGCACGTGGGGGGCTGCTCCAGACCCCAGGACTGAGGGGGGCACGTGGGGGGCTGCTCTGGGCCCCAGGAGTGAGGGGCACACAGAGGGGACACATGGGGGGCTGCTCTGGGCCCCAGGACTGAGGGGGGTAAATGGGGGGATGCTCTGGACCCCAGGACTGAGGGGGGCACATGAGGGGGATGCTCCAGACCCCAGGACTGAGGGGGGCACATGGGGGGCTGCTCCAGACCCCAGGACTGAGAGGGGCACGTGGTGGGCTGCTCCAGACCCCAGGACTGAGGGGGGCACATGGGGGGCTGCTCCAGACCCCAGGACTGAGGGGGGCACGTGGGGGGCTGCTCTGGGCCCCAGGAGTGAGGGGCACACAGAGGGGACACATGGGGGGCTGCTCTGGGCCCCAGGACTGAGGGGGGTACATGAGGGGGATGCTCCAGGCCCCAGGACTGAGGGGGGCACATGAGGGGCTCCTCTGTGCCCCAGGACTCAGGGGGGCACATGAGGGGCTGCTCTGGGCCCCAGGACTGAGGGGAACATGGAAGGCACATGGGGGGCTGCTCTGTGTGCCAGGACTGAGGGGAGCACAGAGGGGGCACATGAGGGGGCTGCTCTGGGCCCCAGGACTGAGAGGGGCACATGGGGGGCTGCTCCGGACCCCAGGACTGAGGGGGGCACATGAGGGGCTTCTCTGTGTGCCAGGACTGAGGGGGACACATGGGGGGGTTACTCTGTGCCCCAGGACTGAGGGTGGGGGACAATAAACCCCCCCAAACCCCCGTGATACCCACCAGGCTCTTCTGTGCCAGAAATGAGGGGTGGGGGAGTGGACAATAAATCCCCCCAAGGGTCCCCCATCCACGCTGAGGGTCCCTCTGCCACCCCACCTGTCCCCAGTGCCACCCTGGGGTACCCCAGTAGTCCCAAGGCCACCCCAAAAGTCCCCCTGGGCACCCCCCTGCAGGGAGGGGGGCCATGGATGATGGCAGGGGAGGGGGACACACCCCACCCTCACCCCACTCTGGGGGTCCAACAGAGCCTGGGGTGGGGTGGGGTGGGGGATGAAGTTGTGCCCCCCCCAAGCGAGCCAGAGCCCCTGGCACATCACAGCCAACGTTTATTCACAACATGATGGTGGGAATGTGATGAAGAGGGGGGTGGGGACACCCCGTGGGGGAAAGGGGGTGTTGGGGACACGTCCTGAGAGGAGGGGACGCCCCACGGGGGTCGGGGCCACGTCCTGAGGTGGGGAGGGGG